ATAAATTAAAAAGTGTAGAGATTGTATCTGAGTGAAATATTAAATTCAGTCGTCACACAATAATTTAATTACGCAATCTAATGAAAATGCACGCCAACAATATTATTTATTGCCATATCAAAGTCGATCTAATATAAAACCAGCGTTAGTTGATCTCTAGAACTTGTTCAACATGCGAATTTATTAAACAAATCGTCAAACTATATAAGGGTGGTATAGGTCAAATACTTTGGACATACGCTTATCACTTGATCTTAGAGGGTGGAAATAATATTTTCTATAATAAAACATACATCCAGAACTAAGCAATTATCCGATCCGGTGAATGAGGAACGGTATAAATAATAATTTATTGTGTTAATTGGATAGATTTTATCAAGTACCGCCTGTTTGCGTACGGAAGAAACAAAATGTTGCACTAAACCAGTGGTCTTTAAACTTTTTGTCTTGTAAACCATTTGCCATGTTTTTCGGTTCTGGATCCTTTGCTTAGCAAATATTGCATTTTAGTGAATTTATTTATTTATTTTTATTTTAATATTACATCTGGAATCAACAGCTTATATCTAGAATAATTAAAAATATTATATTTATGCCATACCTTAGCCAATTACAGATTCCCTAATTTTTATACTAGACATTATTATGCTTATTTTTAGAGGGTAGGTTAAATAGAAAAAAACAAACAAAATAATTAGTTTAAAATTCAATAATTAGTGTAAAAGTGTGTGTTATTTGTGTGTGTAGTGTTGCGTGAATGTAGTGTACAAAGTGAATTCGTAAAAAATCTTTGGAACAAGCAGTGGCGAAATTCCCCTTGGAAACAGTGAGTAAATCCATAGATTCGTATCCAGACTGATTATAAGCCTATACAAAAGCCAAAAGTGGCCAATACGAATAGAATATTTTTTTATTTTTTGCTGAGACTTTAAAAAATATGTAGGTATAAAATTTTGTAATATTACATTACTACATAAAAAAAAATGCATTTTCGTTTGTAACAGAACTTATGGCTGGGGTAGGTATATATTTTTATGTTTACTGACAGGTATAGAAAGTAGTCTGTAGGTATATATATATATATATATATATATATATATATATATATATATATATATATATATATATAAATGAACCGTCTATGTATAATAACCGGTAACCGTCGCCTATACTTAACATACAAATTCACTTTCCCATTAGTAAGGTTACTGAAATTATGTTAAAAAAATATATTACCTCTTATAACTCATATAATATTACTAACTAAAGATAACGGTCTATGTTCTATTATAATCATTTTACGCCTTAAATTCTTAATAAGCATGTTGTCTAAAAATAAAATCCAAAAAACAACTGAAATAATATCAAAGAAATGGTCGTAATAGCGATACGCGAGATTTCCACTTTCGTTTCCTAAGGGACGGGGGAAAAATAAAAATAATGTAGACACTTATAGGGTAGCGTAGGGTTAGGGGGAGCAAAAAAAGTCCTTTGTGTTAGAATGACCTTTTTTCTCTATCGCATATCACGTGACGGCTATTGCTTGGAAATATTAATACACAAACAATCCCCACCAACTAGGCATTGGTGATATCGGTATCTCTCCAACAACTATATATTACCCAATATATAGATATCGGAGCGACAGGGTCTCTGAACATATTTTTATACCACTGAGGTGGCAAACAAGCATACGGCCCACCTGATGGTAAGCGGTTACCGTAGCCTATGAACGCCTGCAATACCAGAGGCATTACGTGCGCGTTGCCGACCCTGAAGAAACCTCTTTACCCCCCTTTTGAAGAACCCCATGCTGTAGTCTCTTGGGAAAACCTCGGCAGGGAGCTCATTCCATAATCTGAGTGATCGTGGGAGGGAACATCTCTGATGGCGGGTAAAAACCACCGGTACGAGCGATATCATTATGGGTGATGACCCATAATGATATCGCTCGTACCGGTCTGATATCTATACACATTTAAAATAAATTATATTTATTTATTTACAATTTATGTATGTTTATTTTATTAGCATTCTATTTACCTTGTACACCTTTTTTTCATACACTCGATTACCGGCTATTCATTTCAATCTCTCTCACTGCATTAAGTTGGCTAATAGAGATCTTTTTCAGACATACCCACCTTTGCTAACAAGTTGTTAAATTAAGCGCTGTATCTTTTTTTCAAGTGCAATAAAAAATATATACATATATTCATTTCGACCGTAATCTTTATTTCGATATTGGATATTGTTTTTTTTTTATGAGTGATAATGGAATGGTGACCCCACCCGCGCTATCGGTATACACCGGCGGGGCACCAGTGAAAGATGATAGGTGAGGATGAAGCAGGCTAGTTAGCCCATCGTGACGAATTCAACAAGAATTGTTCACGATGGTTTCCAGGGGGAACCACGTGGAGGTCGACCTGATAAGGCATATTGCTAGCAATGGGGCTGTCAAACTCCATTGCTAACAACCCCTTTCCCCCCATTGGATATTGGTTAATCGTCATTTTATATATCATTATATAGATATTATAAATACAATATATATATATAGATATAGACATTGCCACCCCTAAATTTAATACACAAACAATCCCCTCGCAACACACCTTGTCCCCACAAAACAAAATTATGGAGTAATTATAACAATACGGCGCAATGAATTACGAGAATAAAACGTACATTAGTCTGGTAATTCAACAAAAATGTTGAATTAAATACAAATTTTTAAGTTAATGACGAGCGAACTGCATCCGAAATTACGCGGAATGTTAATTTGTCTGGATTAATGCTTTTAAAGAGATTAACTTTGCAACGTTATTGTTTTTTTTTTATAACACAAAGATAAACAAGCATACAGCCCGTCTGATTGTAAATGGTTACTGTAGCCTATGTACGCCTGCAACACTAGGGGTGGTCATATACATGTTTCCGATCTTGAAGAATCCTTAATGTACCCATTTTTAACAACCTACAGTAATGTCTACGGAAAACCTCAACAGGGAGCTCATTCCACAGTCTGAGCACTTGCGGGAGAAAAAGTCCTCTAAAGCCACACTGTAGATGGCAATGTAAGATCTAGAGTGTAAGAATGAATTATCTGTCGATGGCGAGCAGTTGGTAGTTCCGATTTTCATTCTAAGTAACAAGTTAATTGATAATATCTTTGCGTAATGCAAAGGGATCGATTCTACGGCACCATTATCTAAACCTAATTCTATAATTAAAGAGAAACTCATACCATAGATCATTATTAAAAATTAAAGGAAAAAAAAATACTGTAAATATCGATATATTGCAATTTTTTTAATGCCAAAATTAACACATTGTAATGAACATAAATACTTATTCCATTTTTTTATTTGACACCATTATTGATAAAATGGAATTTAAAAAAAAACAGTATATTTATTAAGGTATTAATATATGATATGAAATCGAAGTATTATACTTCTAACGAATGTAAAAAGTGTGTAAAAATATATATATATATATATATATATATATATATATATATATATATATATATATATATATATAATGAGTGAATTATACTTAAATGGCTGAATAGATTTCAAAAAAAATTTGGTACATAAGTAAATTATTTCCAAACTTAAAATAAAGGATAAATTATGTATTGATTCCCATGGGAAAACCTGCGGGAAACGGCTAGTTGTTTTATGTATGCTGATACTGCCAATACAATAGCAATAATTCTATTAATTGAAATCGTTTTGTATCCTGTATACCGTCCCACAGTATTCAGACGCTAGCCAAATGGTCGACATTTTTGGCATAGTTTCCATTATTTGTTACATAGACAAATTAGAGATTGTTCTCCACATCTGATCTTTGGAATGTTTCCAAAGATTCCAGTATTGGATTATTCTCATCATTGGTGCACTTAGTTTGATTAATATCTATCTATATAACTAACTTATTATATAAAAATCTCTTGTGGTAATGTTCGTTGAAATCACCGAAACCGCTCAACGGGTTTAAATAAAATTTTGTAAATGTATATTGTTTTTTTACAACTTAATGGACCCTGTAGATGGTGTGGCAGTGAGAATCAAAATAACGCTGGTTACTTGATTAGAATTATTTTGTTTAATTCCACTACCATTTGATAGCGGAATTATATAAACATGAATGGAATATGGCAAGAAATTACAGAGTAAGGAGGCCTAGTTTTCAGAAATGATACACATTAACGGTATTATGAGAATCACAGCGTATTATGTGATGTTCTGTCTGATTCTGTTTATATAAACGACGGCTACCACTTTCATAATAAACCCAAACTACGAGTAACACAAATATACATACCTATCTTTTTTTTTTAATGGGTGATAGTGGAATGGTAACCCCGCCTCTGCTATCGGTATACACTGGCGGAGCACCAATGAAGAATGATAGGTGAGGATGAAGCAGGTCAGTTAGCCCATCGTGACGAGTTCAACAAGAATAGTTCACGATGGTTTCCAGGGGAAACCACGTGGAGATCGACCTAATAGGGCATATTGCTAGCAATGGGGCTGTCAAACTCCATTGCTAAAAATCTCTTTCCCCCCATACATACCTATTCAAAAAATTACAAAATGTTTATAATATTGCCCGTGAATGAAATGACTATCTATAAATAAATAAATTTGCCGTGTGCTCTCGGCACAGAATATGTCACCCCTTCCTTTCCTGTGGGTGTCGTAAGAAGCGATTAGGGGAACTTAAAAATCCAAGGATGTGCAGCAGTTTCCGTCTTAAAATATCACCAAAACCTTAACTGCAGTTGCCAAACCATTTACTAAGCGTGGCAAGTACTGGAAAAACTCGCCTAACTGCAGTTGCCAATCCATTAGACCAAGCGCGGCAACTACTGGGATAATCCCCCTTATGTGGGAGACCTATGTTCAGCAACAAATATAGTGATAATTATAAAACAAATAGTAATAAATTATGTTCTAATAACTGTGCATTTCTATTTATTTCAGAAGATTGACGCATACAACCACAGCGGGCCGTCGTTGCAGACGTCGGCCGTCATCGCTCTTTGTTCTATCGTACTGGTGCTTGGCGTTCTAGTTGGTGCTATCCTCGTCTGGAAGTGAGTCTTACTAATTACTCCTTACTAATATAACTACTTTTTATTAAGTAAAAATGCCTAATTACTATAAGAAAATACTAAATATCGTCACGCGAACAACTTTATAGACAGCCAGAGAAAGACTTTGTACAAAAGTCGTTCACCTCTGTCCCATTCTTGTTTCTACCGTGAAGCAGTTGTGTTTGCATGGCTGTGGTTCGGTTTGAAGGGTGGAATATGACAGTGAATTTACAGAGTACAGAGGAATAAAAACTGAGTTCTCAGGAATGGCAACGCGTGGGGGGGTATCATGGGGGAAAGAGTATACTCTGTTATGTACATGGTACTGCTCATGTCTATACGCGATATTTACCACATTTCATCAAGTGGGCCGTCAGCTTGTTTGCCATTCTGAGTAGCATAAAAAAAACTAATTCTAATTATGAAAATGTTACTTTTTCAAATATCGTCCATTTGAAAGTCTCCTAACTTTTGCAGTAGCTTAGAAGTTACTTAACTAAATTTGTATACAAGTTAATGTATAGTAACATTTAACAGTAATATGCCTAATTGAATTTTTATCAAATTAGAGTGCCTTCAAGTTATTTCACAAATCTTCCAAATGGATGGCGGTATCTAGAAATCTTGCAATAACCGTCTGTCTTCATTAGGTGATCTCAAAGTTAGAATTAAGTTAGATAGTTCGTACTATCAATTTCTATTAGTAAAGTCAACAAACTGAGCTCATATTAATTACTCTCATTGATGATTCAAGAATCACGATGTTTTAACACAACTAGTGCTTATAGTTTATCGAAACTCTGGTGAAGTGATTGAATATTATGTAGTCTGTTTAATAAAGTTTATTCATAGATAGATAGATACTCTTTATTGTTTCCTTCAAAAGATTACAATAGTAAACTTATTATAGATATAAACAATTACAAGAAATAATCACAATGAGAAAACAATGGGCGACCTTATCGCTAAAAGCGATCTCTTCCAGGCAACCTTTGGATGGAGAGGAGTAATTATAAACAGTTTGATTGGAGGTACGATGAAGATCCTATTATTCATAGCTAGTCTTTTGCCCGCTACTCCGCGTGGATTTTAGAAGTAGGTAAATAAATAAAATAGATGACTTTTACATGTCGTATCAAGATCAACCATAAATTAGTTTTTAAGTTAGACCTTCAGATATACGATAGTGGAAACCGCATCCAATTTAGTGTAGTAGTTTTTATGAGATGCCGGTATAAACGTACAGACAGGTACACAAAATTTGTAAAAAAATATTGTTTTAGCTTATTTATTAGTTCTGTTATATTAATTTTCTTAAATATTAACATGTAAACACATTGCCTAGTTACTATATTATTTATTAGTAAAATTGTATGTGCCGAATTCTGCAGAATTCAAGAAAAGGTTGAAGTTACATTTTCTTTCCTTTGAGTCATTATCTTAATTTATTTATTTTTATCATTGAACTGTCAAACTTTAAAATCATTGAACTAAATTTCTATTCTAGGTAGTAGATTCATTTATTTTAACATCCACTGTATAAGTAGGTAGATATTATATTTATTTATAGTATATGTATTTATGTAATATTTTATTATGTATCTTAATATTTTATTTAACTGTATATTTGTTTATGTATACTAAATATTAATAGTTGTAGCACTTCAGCTGCCCGCTAGCAACATGTTTTCTAACTGCATTGGGTTGACTGGAAGGGATCTCTGTCAGGGATAAGTCCACCCTTGCTCACAATATTTATAAATGCATTAACATTGTAATTTACAAGTGCAATAAAGAATATATATAAAATATATATTAATATAAATATTAAATAGTATATGCAGACTTTTTTAGTCATAAACAGATGTTAGACACTCTTTTATAGTAATACTTTTAAATATTTATTTATTTATTTATTTGGTATAAGTTACAATAACAGTTTGCAAACAGAAATGAACCATTAAAAAGAGAACAATACAAATATTTATCAATACGCAGTTTGTAACGCTGTTACGCTGTTTGTACGCAACCTTACATTGTAAACATCGTTTAACAGTAAGTTATAACATATTTATAGATGTTACATTACATTACTGATTACAGTTATAATCCAAACTTATATGTGTTGAACACCTGTTTATCACAAGTTTAACTTTTTTATGATAACAATGTGTTTAATACACGTATTTATACAATATAATGCTTAAAAATACATTTTTATTACGAAAATATGACTAAATTGAATGAAAAATTAAGCCACAATTATGAATGCATCAAGCCATGCGATTTCTTCATTCGAACAGAAGTCAGAGCGAGACAGATATAGCGAGTACGTCACCTAATTATTCGTCGGAAAGCCAACAATAATTTCACAAATCAGTCGAGATCTCAAGGAATCCGACAATGGCGGGTTGTGACAGTTTAATCGGCGTTAAACCCGTCGTCACATACGTGCCATGGGGAGGCAATGGTTCGAGAAAGTTGATTAGAGTGGCTGTCACCTATTTGGGATTTAATCCTAGCGCCAAATGCGGTGCGCCGCAAGTAATAAGCATGAGCGTTTTAAATTCTATATTCAAATACATTTTTTTATCAAATGTAGTAATATTGTTAAAAAATATATGTATGTCTGTGTTATGACGCAGTCTGAGGGCGAGGGATGGGCAGCAGCGTCCCCCTTAAAATATCCTCAAAGGCCTAACTGCGGTTGCCAACCCGCCTACTAAGCGTGGCAACTACTGGCAAAACTTCCCATATGGGGAAGGCTTATGTCCAGCAGTGGACAGTAAACGACTGAATTAATAATAAATGTCTGTGTTATATTCAATAATGTTGGTAATATATTGAAATTTTTTCCATTGGACAATATTTTTTCCGTAGTATAAATAGGAACGCATTTCAACACCTTAATTCTCAGTAATGAGAATAGAAAGAAAGATACCCTGTTATGTTCGTAGTATTGCTCATGTCTCATCGTAGGAGACAGTTACCACTTTCATCAGATGGGTTCTCAGTTCGTTTTCTATTCTAAGTCGCATAGAAAAGAAAAGATGCGGGTCGAAATCTCGTCAAATTGAGTTTTTAAGAAGTGACATTTTTCACCCTTACTTCCTTCTTAAAATATGTTATTACTTATATTTTAAAATTCCTTAACATTAGTTTAGTGTTGAAAATGAATTATATATTCCGTTAATTAAACAATAAAGACCAAGTTGAGAGTTAACGTTTTGCAATATAATTCACTTACCTAACTTATCGCTCTGAGAGACCAACTTTCTAAATGTAAATTCAAAACTAAAGCTTTTATTATAGTTTATTTTAAGAGATGACTTTAATTAATAAATTTATATAGCTGAATCTATAGGCTAATTAATTCTTTAAAAAAATCTACTTATAGGATTAGGTGTATAATATATTTAAAAGTCTTTTGTTGCTAAAATAGTTGGAAATTGCTATAATTTAAAATTTAAATTTATAAGTGAGAACACCAAGTTTTTGTTTATATATAAGGTCATTTAACAAGTTTTTGTTTATTATATAGGTCACTTTATACTATATTAATAATATGTAAAATATAGGACCTTAAGATATTCATTAATGCTAATCTTCAGAACCACTCAACTATAATGAAATTTTGTTCTCCTAATATATTGTTTGCTCCAACTTGAGAGATAGAATAGTTTTGATCACGATAAGTGGCGTTGTTGTCAAAATCATGCTCCCATGCAAAGCCCGGGGCAGATATCTAATCCATACTAATATTATACGGAGGAAAGGTTTGATTTTTTCTAATTTTATTTATTTATTTATAATAAATAAACTCAGTAATTGATTTTAAAAATTGTTTCACTTATAGGAAGCTACATTACCAGTAAACAATAAAGGATTTATTTATTTATTTAAATAACTTTATTGCAATAAATTAAATGCGGTTCTCGCTACTATGTTCCTAAACATCAAGTTAGAGCTAGAAAAGCTGGTGTATATTTTATTTTAATATACCATAAAAAAGTAATCAATTTTATTGGTTTACTTCCATAAACCGCGTATACGAAATAATGAATAAAAAACTAGTCATATATAAGTTACTTATATTGGATTAGCCTCAAATTTAAATTATCTAGTTATTTGAGTATATCAATTAAAACATGAGAATTTACAAATGCTTGTACCTTTCATAAACTCTCGATAATTTAATTTTATTTTAAATCCGCTACCGCTTATGTTTTATAGTATGAAAATAAAATAATTAGACGTGTCACAATATTCATGTCGTCAAGTTACGGGCAGTTTGACGTCGTCGAATTAGAAACTGGATATCCCGCGATAAGTAGCTGTCGACGAATATTATTGTATTAATTAACTGTATAAAATATTTGTTTATTGGACTTTTGTACGAGAATAGATTTTTTTTATAATTCTACGAAAATGTTAAGATTTTTAGATTATTATTATATGTGAAATTTATTTATTTATTTATTCTTTATTGCACAATAAAATTTTATACAAATAGCGAGCCTAATGCCATATGGCATTCTCTACCAGCTAACCATTGGGTAAAAACAGAAAGCATATGAAGGGCAGATGTGGTGAAAAATATGTGACAATTATAGTAACACATTAAGGCAATACACAATATAAATATAATATACACATAAGAAATGCACACATAATACATAAACATTACTTTTAATATATATGGATAAACTAATACATATGAAATATATACATACATATACATAAATTAAAACAACGATAAGCATTATGAGATATAATAACTATTGAGTAACCTGTAACTAGAGCTGGTTTTGTTGACTCAACAAATAATTAAAAAGTCTTCTTTTAAAAATATCTTTAGTTGATGCTCTGCGTAGATCTACAGGGGTTTTATTCCAAAGGCTGATAGCGGTGACAGTAAAAGAATTGGACATAAATCCAGAATGATGTGACGGGGTGATGAGGAGGAGATTATGAGATGACCGAAGATTAAGGGTATGGGA